AAATTTACCACTTGACCTTTAAACAATTTATTTTCGTTCATGTCATTGCTATACCATGGTCTTATTTCAGAAGAAGAAATCAGTTGTGGAATTCAGGGGGTGGGGGTGGGGGTGGGGGGTGGGAGGATTTCACCATGAGTTTACCGCCCCTCGGTGACACCATCCCTAATTACGCCACTCTATAAATGTTAAGTTGATAGTGTTTTTTTAAATTAAGTTTATTACAGTTTTTCTTTAAATGTACTCTATTCATATCATCTTTATTTTCCGGGTAATTTTCTTTCAGCCTCACACTAAAATGAGTGGTGGAAGCACACACACACAAAAATACACATTAAAAACAAAATAATAAAAACATAAAATATATATCTAATTCGTCATTCTTGGGAGGAATATTTACAATTTAGATTTATACACGCTGTCCCTAATGAACGTTCACCATTTAGTATCTTATGCCAACAGTGCTTGTCCAACGAAGCAATAAAACGAGGTCGTCTTGGGGTGCATTTGAAGGACAAACATAACGCTCATTTTAAATCAGATTTAAAATTATGTTCAAATTTTAAAGAAAAAAGAACAAACTTAAAGTCTCTGTTTACTGCTCATACTGCAATTGTCAATCTTACTTTTGAGGCTAATTATGAAATGAAATTACTCAAAGCTAAATCTGGGAAAAATTGTACTTACTAATAAAAAAATGAATCATTGCTGAATAGCTGAGAGGGGGGGGGATAAAAACTTTTAGTGCTAAATGATTCATCAACTTTGTGAGACAGTGAGGCTGTAGTGATAACTTATTTAAAATATATTGATAAAGGAGAGTTTTTAACAGAAATGTTGTTCTGTACATCATTAGAAACCGCCACAACATATCTAACTGTTATATAATATACGCCTACACTCCATCCTGTTCGCGCCACTGAGCTACATTTCTTTCAGTGCAAAGAAAAGTTATAATAAAAGAATTATAAATCTTTTCCTTAACTGATTTTTTTTAAAATTCTTAGTTTTAAATATTATTATTTAGTACTAAATTACGATATATTGATTTCTTTATTAAACAATAACTTTTCTCCTGCTTGGTATCTTCAGTAAAGATTTACTTAACCTTGCCTCGCTTCTGAGCTATATAATCTGAAAATCAGTAAAAAAAAAATAAAATTAAATAAAAAAAATATTTTTATATTTATAGCCGCACCTCTTAACCAATTTCAAGTTTAAAAACCTTGTTTATTTAAATTCTATTCATAGTTTCATAAGCTTTTCCAATGCCCCAAAAATGTAATATTTTTAAAATAAAAATAAAACAATAATAGAGCAACAAATATTTCCTAATCTTTAAAGAAAATCCTAAAAGCCATTATTGTTCCTGCCCCTTAATTGTATTTTGGGAAAATAGAAAACTAAATTATTATGCATCTGATTTTGAAGATTATATGTCCAGGCAAGTAAAACGATTGTGCTTTTAATTATTGTTATCCACATAAAAATGATCCAACTAGCTTTCTTTAAAATTTTAAATGTATTTTCCTGTAATATTTACAATGCATATTAAAATGAAACATGTTATTATCTCATACATTTATTCCAACACTTTATCCTTGACCTAGATCTGTAAAATTGGCAGGTTAAAAAAATTACGATGTACTTACTTTCACTGAAAATCTTATCAACCTTGGTCGTCTTTCCAACATAACTGATTTAGGATGACTGATTGATAAATGTATGTACATGTACCACAATGTACGAACGCCCCTTAAACGCATTTTGCGACATTACTGTAACACGTATAAGTTTTGATGGAAATCTAAAACCTCATTTTTCACATCATTAATGTCATTGGATTTAAATATATTTCTATTCACATAAAAAAAATTCAACATTCCCCCCCCCCCCCATTTTTTTTTTTTAAAAATCATTACTGTAACACGTATAAGTTTTGATGGAAATCTAAAACCTCATTTTTCACATCATTAATGTCATTGGATTTAAATATATTTCTATTCACATAAAAAAAATTCAACATTCCCCCCCCCCCCCAATGTATTTTTTGTAAAAAGTTAAATACAATTTCATTAGTCTTAAAACTTTTATACCAATTTACTGTTTGCAAACTATTTGAACTCTGAAACAATGTTATGCCCATCAAATGCATAAACCCATTCTGTGGGGTGTCTTATACTGCCTTAGGATAATAATTGCAGCTCTCTCCCCTACATCCAAATTTTGCATTACGTTTTATTTGTGTTCAGATTGTTTTATTTTTGTGCCGAAAATGTACATTTTTCCACATGTACACATTTCTATTTGTTTTAATCAATAAAAGAATGTTATATTATCTTATTTAGTAGCCATCGTTGATCTATATTAATATTCTAATGTCTCAACTCCTTTTATCATGCAATGTATTTCATATTGTTTTTTTACAATTTTTTAACGAACTTCGCATATTTCAGAATGTAGAATATGCCCATGAATTGTTAAATTTAAACCTATACCAAAGCTCTGCCTGTAACATAATCGGGTAAGGAGGAAAAGTTATTAAAATTTCACCCACACTCACACCTGTAGAAAATTTGTATTGCCCCAGAAATGTAAAAAAATAGAAAGGCAGTTGTAAAATAAATACATAGTTTATTTTAAATTATCTATATATGATATTGTTTTTTTTTTATTTGGTATTTAAAATTTTTTTTTTTTGAAATTTGAAAAATATTGCTTGATTCCCAGTTTTTGCAAATTTTGATATTAAAATACACTATTATCCGAAATAAATTTAATACGTTGCAAACATTTTTGTAAAGATAAAAGTACGATTTATTAAATGTTAAAAATACAAAGCTTAAATTGTGGGGGGTGCGTTAAAAGAATTGTTAGCATTTTATAAAGAGCATTTTATTGAGGTTCGGTGCCTAATTGTGTAAATAAAGTCCGGTTTTTAAGAAAACCTGAAATCCACCTGTACATATTTTCAGTTAAATAAAAAGCTTTGCAATTTTAATAATAGAACAAACATCCAGACACTATCGTAAGCCGGTCTGAAGGTCAAAGAAAACGATTTTTTCTGAAGCTCCTCTGTTTTGGACTGGAGAAGTCGGATCACTTGGTCTAACTGATTTTTGTTTAGGTAGTCGGTGCATTCCTGGTACGAAAAGAATCTTTCGTTTACCGTTCTCTCAGCTACATTCCCTATACACGATGTTAGGGATATCGGCCGTTAGCTGCGTGGATTATCGTTTTGTTTTCTTTGCTTGGGAATTGAGACAATAATAGTAGGACTTATACAAAATGTTTAGGGCTCCCGTGACCTATGATCTGTTGATGCTATTCATTAGCTTTGACCTAGCTATCTGGCCACCGTTTTTTAATAATTTTATTACAGATCGTACATAAAAAAACAATAAAAATAATAATGGTTGTCAAGGTAATCTTTAACATAAAGTCAATGTTATTAACTGCATGATTTGTGCAAGAAAGTATTTAATAGTATGTATGGATGAGTCACAAAAAGCTTTTTTATGAAAGAACTACACATAGCACAACACCTACGGGCGTGATACTATAGCTTAAAAAAGCTAACAACAATAAACAGAAAGGTATTCTGAAGCCGTATCAGATGCAAGTTTAGTTAAATATCGTTAACCAAAGTATTTAAATGCAAAGACTTCATTTTTATCTGGATTTATTCAAAACCTTATCCATTATTTAATTATCAATACATTCTTAAAAAGCGAATAATTAAATAAATGGCATTTATTGGTACATGATTACATAAATCCTTCAGAAAATGAAACTTTGATAATGTTTGGTAACATTAATTCCATGAAAATCTTAAAAAGCGTTCAGTAAACTTGATAAGTACACTTTGACTTACCGTGGCAGCAAAAAGTTCACAAAGTAGATTCTTTGCAAATTCCATGCTCATTTCATACCCAAAAAGATATATAATTAGTAGTTTGAAACTTGAAGAAACTTTAAACTTTTGAAGTAAATCTTATACAAATTAATATGCAGTAAAAAAATTGCATTAATTATAAAAACTTAATTCACATTGTCAATTAAATAATCACACTTGCATGGCCGTAATATATGCTGATTGCATTTTATATTAGGTAAATCAATATTACTTACTATTTTAATGTTTCATTTTAATCTCCTAATTAACAAACGGAAACAAATAAACCAACATTTATTCTTCGAATTCATTTATTTAAAACATGATTTGATTTTATTTTCCTTCTCCTAAACAAGGCAACATTTTTAGCATTAACGCATATTTTTGTTTCCATTAAAAAAAAAATAATAATCGCAACACTAAATGATTTTTCCAGAACACAAATAATGTTCCTTAAAAAACTAAAATGTTAATTTTCTGCAATTTATTATGAGTTGAATCGTATTAATAATTTTTAAATTAGTATATATTTATTTTATTTTAAATTGTAATTTGAATTATCCATTAATTAGTGTACGTGTTTTTAGTTGCCTACTATAGAACGATACATTTTACAAGTACAATTTAAATTGCTGTTCCGATAAATCTTGAAGTCTTTACACCGTATAATTAAAATAATATATAATTTAATAACTTGTTTTTCCCTTGGCACTAAAATAAGTGATAGAGTTTTCATGTTGAAATATATGTATATATATTTAAAGTGAGTTTCCTATAAATTAGTGTATATATTTAAAATGATCAAAATCGCCTTCAATTTAAGTTAAAAAAAACTTTTAGCTGGATGCAACAGAAAACATTCACGCCAGTGCCTAACAGGTTCATTTAAAACGAAACGAAACTATTTTAGTACCTAAGTTTTATGTAAGATAACTTTGTCTTTTGTTATCATTAAACACGCTTGCGTGGGCATTGTTTTACCTGTACGGACATGTTCACGTTACGTCTTGTAAAAAAAAAAAATCAATAAGGAAACACTATATATTGGGCAGTTTTCCGCCTAGTTTGATTGTCGTACTGCTTTACCTAATGGGATGACATGCATTTTTTTCCCCAAATAATATATTGTCTATAACGGTTATCTCAGAATTCACTGAAGAGTTTATTTTTAAAATTGATCTTGTGCAAGTTATCGACAACACATTATTCAATATTCTACAGCATATTTCTTGTTTATAATTGCTTTATTCAGAATAAATTTTAATACATTATTATTTAAAAAAATAAAATATCGTTTTGGAAAAGCTACCTAACGTCAATCTTTGTCATTCGTGGCTATGGTATATTTTTAAACATTATCAACTTGGAATTTGAGCAAATCTTAAATTTGACGCCAAAAATCAAATTCCGCAACTTTGAAAATAAAATAGCTCATTTAAATTTTATTTGTAAGGAAAGGTTTTTTTTAAAAAATAATAATAATACTCTTGACCTATATGTTTTTGCGCTGCATGTCTTTTTTTTTTTATTCAAGCCATTTTTTTTTGTTACATTGGTGTGGTTATTTTTATTGAAAATATTTTTATTCGTTATTGATACTTTATAGTACTTAAGATTTAGTTGACAAACCTCCACTTCTAGATAAAACAGGTTTAAAAATGTCTACAATTCAAAAGAGTGAACAAAAAGATGATGTCACTGAATGCCTTGAAGCAGCTACAAGTTTGCAATCTATGTAAGTGTAGCTATTTAAAATAAGAATATTTCTGCTGTTTTATTGATTTGATTAAATAATGCAAAACGTCAATTATTCTTTACATGAATGTTAAGCGTTATGATGCCATACAATTTATTTTTATCCATAATTGGTTGCTACAAGTCTGAGTTTCTTTCATAGAATTTCCCCCGCTAGTTATTTCAGATTTTGCGGTGGGCTGTGCTATTGCCCTGGGACATAAATAAATTTATAGGGGAAGGGACTGCTGTCCCGTATGTCGGACTAGCAAAAATGTGATGTGATGGCTTTTAATTGTTGAAAATATTAGTTTCAAATTTGAGGTTTTTTAAAATGAATCTTTCCCTCTGGCGACAAACATTCTATCCAAAGCCTCTGCAAGTGCATAGGAATGTCCAGCGAGGTGAAACGTTTTCTTTATATTCAGAGCTGACATTTTATGACAACTGAAGATTTTGTATCGTTACAGGTGTCCCATCATTAAGCTTGACCCACCGAGCTAACTAGCTACCGAGTGTAATAATTATATTTTTTTTTATTATATGAAACTCATTAAAAAAACTTAACAAGCAATAGAATGCTTAATTTTATTTGTGTTCATTCTCTTATTCCATTCTCCTAACTTTCCATTTACTAGTTGCTCCGAAACAAAGAAGTCTGAGCTGGAGAGAAAAATGAATAGTGAATTTGTGGAAATTACGACTGTAAAAGTTTCAGAACGCATCCAGTTGTCGCAAAGTAAGATTCAAGAAACATCAACGCCAGGATTGACAAACACAACAACAAGGTTGGACTAAAAACGCGTTGTAGCAAAACTTATTAAGAAAAATTATGGCTTTAAATTACACCTGACTTGAGCGGGATTTGGTGAAACGTTTTTTCTACAAATTCAGCATTAAATAAAATTTTAAAATATTCAAATCATTTTGTGTACTAGTTTATAATATTAATTTTAAAAAGCATATTAGCCTTTCCATTAAAAAATCGAATTATAAATTAATCAATTGGCCATATAATAGTAACGAATCAATGTTATCTTTTTGAAAGCTTCCATAAATATTGACGCTTATGTGGATTATATGCATAAATTTCATTGTTTCGACAACATGTAGTTCAAATTATTCCTATGTTATAAAAATAATTTCTTCACTACATTTTCCCCCAATTATTTATTCATGAGCTTTAGAAAATTTATAGGCAAACTTTAAAAAAAAGTAAAGTAATTATTTTATCTTTTCCCTAAAATTGTATGAGATTTTTAATGGAATTATCAATGTTCTGGATAACACAGGTGAAGATTACCAAAGTATGTTCACAAAAAATAAATGAAGGCTAACTTTTTTTAAAATGGTTCAAATATTTCAAACAATTTCAAAATCAAATCACATAATTGTTATACACTTGAATTTAATTGAACTTAATTAATTTTGCTTATTTTAAAAAATAATTCTCCAGATCATCTGAATCAACAAGTTCGATGCCTCTTAATCAAGATAAAAGTAAGAAAAAGGTATGATCTGTAGTATTTTATAAATGTACAGAATTCGGCCACAAATTAGCGATACATGGGTTAAGTATAATTGAATCGCCTTATGGTGGGGCAACCGTTTTGTCCCAGCTGTCACGTTAATTAGTTGCGAGCTAAAACTCAACTGTAGAAATCCCTATTAGAAGGCTTCTGACGCTTCCCCTGGATGGATGGAAGAAGACTTTAGAAGTACATATACCATCCAGACCTTTGAGGGAGTCGACTGCTGACGCTTAGTGAGCAGCGTAACCAGCCTACTTATATTCTTTATTTCCTGTCATATTTGTCTTGGAAAATCCAACTTCCGACAGTGACAATGGCGATCAATTAAGTTTTTAACTAGTTTCTAATTCTTGTATTTTCATGTGTCCGGTCTGCCGAGGAACGCTCTTAGTCGAAACTTTCACATCTTATCGTCCTGTCTTTTGATTCAAGCTTCCACATATCTTGTTCTTCTATTTCCTTCATACAGCTTGAATGCAGTCCTTCATTAATTATCTTTTTTTTTAAATACTGTGTTGAGTGACAATGTTAAAATTTTATTCACCATTAGGGATCTTCTACAAGTTTTAAAAAATACTACACCTAACTAAATGATTAACACTGGAGCAATTACGATTTTCCTCAAATAAGGGGAACAATGAAGGCAATCTTTGGGGTATCTCACCGCAAACTTTAAACAAAATTCTTACAAGTTATTGTAATAATACTCTGGGAAATTATCCTACACACAACAAATATCCACGTGCTCAACCCATTTACATATTTTTACAAGTTTATTGATATTTTTCTACTTCAACCAGCTAAGTATAGCCCTCATATTATAATTCATAGTATGGTTAAAAAAATATTTTAAAAATTAACAAATGCAGCTCTCAAAAAAGTCCAAACTTTTAGTATTAAATTGCGTTATGTATTTATAGTTATTATATTTCATTTTTTTTTCTTTAAATTAGTTTTTGTTTAATGTTTCAGACTAAACACTTTTGGAATAATAATACCAAAGACATTGACTTGTTACTTATTGGTAAAACTGGAAATGGAAAAAGTGCCACCGGAAATACTATTTTAGGGGAAAAACGTTTCGAAAGTGACGCAAGTTGTACATCAGTCACACAGATAGTAGAATATGGAATTGTAGGCTATAAGGGTCGGACAATAAAAGTTGTAGATGGTCCAGGTGTGGGAGACACAAGCAGCATTGATGACCTTGAACAAGCTACAAGATTGGTCATTGACAAAATGAAAGATGCAGTTCTTCTTAATCCTGAAGGTTATCATGCGCTACTTCTTGTAGTTCGCTATGGGGGAAGATTTACTGCTGAAGATAAAGAAATGATCAGAGTGCTCAAAGCAATCTTTGGTCAAGATTTTGTAAAAAATTATGGCATCCTCGTGGTGACATGTGGAGATATCTTTAAATCTCAACAAAAGATTAATAAAAGTAAAAAATTTAAAACATGGTGTAGCGAGCAAAAGGGAGTGTTTCAGGAGTTGCTGCAAGAATGTGATAATAGGGCAATTTTATTTGACAACGAAAATAAAGATCAAAAGACAAGAAATAAGCAGATAGAAGAATTGATTGAGACAGTTGGTAAACTTCAATATGGAGGACGACGATATACAAATGACAATTTTAAGAAAGTTGAAGCAACGCGGGATCGCTTGCTTATTGAGATCATAGAACCAATCATTAGAGAAGATACTTTAAGGAAAATAAAGCTTATTACTAATAATTTGGAAGAAATATCAAATGGAGGTGCTGATAACAATCAGGCCAAACTGGAAGAATTGTTGAAAGAAACAGAAGACATCTTAAAGAGCATTCATAGCACAGATAAGGGAAGTGGAATCCTGTCACAAACTCTTATGTCGGTGGAAACACTTAAAAATGCAGTGCTTAGTAAACTGAAACACGAGAAAGTAATGTTAGAAGCAAAATTAGAAATGGAGAAAAAAGAAAAACAAAATAGAGAATATTTAGAGGACCTTTCACGCAAGGGAATTGAGGAACTTGAAAAATTAAAAAATGAACACAAAATAGACGAGGAAAAGCGAAAGAGGGAACAAAAGGAGGAAGAGCAAAGGAGACAAAGAGATGAATCATTAAGGACACAGCAAATTAAAGAACGTGAAGAAAATCAAAAAAAAGAAATGGAAAAAGAACGTGAGATTGTAAATCAAACATTGAAGGAAAAACAGCATCAATATGATATCATGTTGGCTAATCAAGAGATGAACGGAAAAGAGCGCAAAAAATTGGAGGAAGAAAAACTGGAACTGATTGAAAAATCGAGAAAGGACATACAAGCTTCAAGGGAGAAGGAAGAACAAATTAATGAAGAACACAGAAGAAACCAGGCTGTCCTAATAGAGCAAAATGAAGAATATAGAAAGGATAGTGAAGAGAAGCTTAAACAATATATCGCTAATAATAAAAGAATAATTGAAGAAACTAAGGAAGCTCAGGCGCTTGCAGAGATGAGCGCAAAAGAAAATATTGAAAAACAGAAAATGGAGAATGCTAAGCAATTAAAGGAGATGGAAAGAGTATATGCGGAGAACAATGAAAGACAGAAAGAAGCTATGGATAAATTGACAACAGACCTTTCTACTGCACAACATGAGCGTGACGAAGCAATTAGAAAAAATCAAGACTATACTAATAAAATTCAAGAACTAGTTGTGGAAAATGGAGCTCTAAAAAACAAGTCTGGTTGTTTTATAAGCTAAAATCTGAAACGATTAATACACTTTTAATAGATTTAAAATCGTGTAATTTTCAAATATGATTTTAAAATTTTTACATTTTAAATATATTAACTTACTACTAGTTAGCATTCAAAACTTTAAACATAATTTTGACATTTAAAATTGCAGCTTGCTTCGCTAAAATCGTTGATCTTGTGTAATTTTTATTACAAATGTTCTAAAAGTTTTTAATATTTAATTAGGTTAACTAGAGTAAAAACTGTTTTCAGATTTTCTTTATGTTTCCCCCATTGTACTCTTTCAATAGAAAATGTGATTTTTTCCACAATTTCTATAGCAATGTAAAGTATGATATTTGCCCATATTAAAATATTATGTAATATTTTCAGCGAGTGAATTTAAAAAAAAAAAATTGCAGTCTGTGTACATTACTGTATTATTTCAGTAGCTACGTATCTATACTTTTGCATGTATTTAAATATATATTTTTTGTATAATGCTGTAAAACAATATTTAAAAAAAATACATTTATGATAATCAAGACATGTCATTTAGTTAAGATAAATAATATTAACTCTATTAAAAACTAAGATTTAAAGCTCTCTAGTTTTACGTTGCTAAAATGTATAAATTAATCAAACCTCAATTGCGCATAGAGATGGCTTTACTATCTACAAAATTATTTATTTTTCTTGAAAATTGCTATCTCTAATGGCATACCTTAAACATAAATACAACTTTCTCTTTAGTGATTTTGTTATATAAAAAATATAAATGCAGAATTTATTTTTAACTATTTGCAAAAACTCTTGATTTTACTATTCTATTTTTATTCTTCTTATATTATTTTTAAAATTATGTCAATACAAACATTTAAAGTATATTATACAAATATTAAACTGTAATTTTTACATCTTTTTTCAAGCAAGTTGTGTGCTGTCTGGGGGCAAATTAGAATTTTATAGTTCATATAAGACTTTCTATTTGTATTTCTTTAAGGAAAATACTCTAATATCATATCACAATGTTATTTTGGTGTCATTTCTTGTTGTTTTTTTTTGTTTTTTTGCTTTAAATATAATTATGAGCTATGCTGACGAAACGCTAAAGAACCGAACATCTTTCGATACGTTCGGATTCTTAAGAAAAAGTATAGTTATTTTCTATTATTTTACCGAGTTCGAATAAATTTAAATGCTCAAAAAATTATATATCCGCTTTTGTTTTTAGTAAAATATTAAGTATTAAATTATAAATTACAAATACATCTAAGCAACAACTAGGTAACTACTTTAAGCATTTTATCCGAATGTAAAAGAGATGAAAAAAAGTTATTTAAAAATTAGGATCTAATGATTGTGTGGTAATCACATTTTTTGGAAAACCCAAACATCTGCTATTATTAGTTTGTTTTTTAGTTTTGCTAACATTGATGTTATGTTTTCTATTTTTTTATTTCCAACAATAAAGATTAACATAAATATACATAAATACAAGTTCTATATAATTTTGACTTTCTGTTTGTTTCCGAAACACATGGTCAATAACACACTCTCTGACTTCAGTCTCTCTGCGCATGCGTACTCTTTGACCTAGTTAGCTATCGGACGGTCCCATTCGCTAGTCCACTATAACACATCCCGAACAATTGCAAGTCCAGCAACAATGGTGTTCGACGTTGTCTTTGAGATCTCCTGGGTATGACATAGTCTTGAGGTCTTGGCTGACGAGGGTTAATCTTCTTCTTAGGAGGACATGGAGTTGCTGGATGTGTAGACGGTTGATGACTCAGGGCTGCCTGAGTTGTTGGGTAAGAACTTCATGTCATAATATCCAAACCTGGTACTGAATTTTCTTCTGCCCCGTACCTGGGGCGAAGTTGGTCTATATGTCTCTTCCAAATGGGACCATTTGGATAAATCTTCACTTTAAAAAGACGTGTATTCATAACTTGGATGATTGCATCGGGAGCCCATCGAGGTTTAGAGTCTGATGTTGTTCCATATATTGTGACGTAACATGATTCTCTCCGGTTAAATGATCGACTAGGTTTTCTACGTGTCCCATTACGGACGGCTATTTCTTTATGATGTTGTCCCTGTGCTCGATGAGAAGGAGAGGGAACTAGATTATCAATAAGTGTTCTGATTTGTCGATTGTTCAACAGTTGGCTGGGTGATAATCCACTGGCCAATGGTGTCCTACGATACTGACGCAGAAACATTCTTTTAAAGATAATGAGAATTTCTTTAGTAAACTCTTGAAATTTAGAATCAGTCGTTCGGCAACTCTATTCGTAGCAGGCTAACAGGGAACGCATGCTAGATGTACAATGCCCCTCTCTTTACACCAATGCTGAAATTCTTCCGAGATGAAGCTAGTAGTATTATCACTGACTATGAGATGTGGATAGCCATAATGAGCAAAATCTTCTTCCACAAGATCAATGGTGGCTTTGGTCGATGTAAATGTTGTCCTGTGGATACACGGAAACTTTGAATAAGCATATGTCTTCGCCAGCCAATGTCATCCATTAAATCTAATGGCATGGTCAATATGCACTCGACTCCATGGTTTTTCTGGCAGCATCCATGTATAGATACTTGTTTTGTTTGGGTCTATTGCATGTTGTGCACATGGCTGGCATGTTCAACCTATCTCCATGATTTGAGCATCAAATCCGGGCCAATATACAGATGATCTGGCTAAATGGTTAATCCGTTCGATTCGAAAATGTCCTGTATGCAGGATTTTGAGAACTTGAGATTGTAGAATTTTCGGTACCAAAATTCTTGAACCATAAAATAGACAATTCGACTACACGGAGAGTGAGTCTTGAATATTTTTAAAAGCTTCAATATTAGCTGCATCCTTGTTCAAGTGCGCTTTTTTTTGTAGAGGACGGCCAGCCCTCTTGACAATATTTCATTACTGTAGACACAGTTGAAGCTTTAAGTGACTCTTTAGCAAGGACTCCTGGGTCTGTTGGTCTGATCTGTAAACAGATTTTTTGATCATACAAACAGAATACATCAGGCCCTAAGGGTATACGATTAAGAGCATCCGCATTGCAATGTAATTTATCCTTGTTTGAAACAGTGTGTCTATCGAAATCTGGAGTTCCTTTTTTGCGGTTCTCACCAACAAATTTAAGCTGTAGATTTTCATTACTACAAACGACAGATGTTTAGTTATTTCCCCTGCCTCAGCATGTATTTCAACTCCTCCCAAAACACCAAGTTGGTCACCAGACGCTGACTCGTACTTAACGCGTACTGGGCTCAATGTGGGTTGTCCTACCTTTCGCCAATCAGATTCAGACATAAAATTTTCTCCGACTCCACGGTCAAAATCGAATGAAAATCTCTTTCCTTCTAAAGTTAGTTCTTGAATAACAGTTTTTATTTCGTTTTGCCTTCTTATTCTTTTTAGATGAATTTGTTTCTGTTTTGGAGCATTCTTTTTCTTATTAAGGCAAACTCTTTCGAGAAGTCCTCTCTTGTCGCAAAAGTGGCAGATCATGTCTTTATACTTGCAGTCATTTCCCTCATGGTCTCTTATTCCACACCTGCTACAAGTTCCACTCGGAAAATATTGTCTTTGAGATGGAGAAAATTCTCTGCTATCTGATGTTGCTTTTTTTTTTTTTGTCTGAACTTTATTGATATGACTTTTATCATAGACTGTTTCTTTGGCACATTCACCTTCCTCCTCTGTTTCAACAGCTACTTCTACTGCCTTGTTAAATGATAATTAATTGTCCTTCATCCTAAACAAAATGTTCAATACAGCCTCGTTCTTTACGGAACACATGAATGTTGCTCGTAAAGCTTCATCTAAAGGATTACCAAACTAACAAGTGTCTGCATCCTGTCTTATTTTAGTAGCCAATTTTTTATTGTCTCTGCGGGTTTCGTACTTGCATCTGAGAAAAATTTGTATCTTTCCCTAATCATAAAAACTGGTCGGATCAAACTGATCCATCATTACCACATATATTTCTTCCATGGTTAAATCGTTTAAGTTTTGTGATGGTTATCTTTGTTTTACGAGCTTTGACAACATTTTATGGAGTTCTGGCGTTTGTCTAGTTAAGAAAATTTGTGCCTGCTTTTCCTTTGGTGCATTGTTTGCCAGCACAAAGGTCACATATCTAATAATAATAATAATACAGTTTATTTGAAAAAAAACGCTTCATCCCCAAAAGCTCGAAGCGCTGTACAAGGTCAACCAAATTATAAAGAGAAATAAAAACAATCTAAAATGTATCACTTTAAAAAAAAAAACAGACGCAACAATATAAAGCTAAATACGAGCATACCCAGTCAAAGTCTTTCATCCCGTTTCAACCATAAGCAACACAAGCCAATATACATTAACTGTAAAAGATGGTAGATAGCATCACCCCAGAAAGTGTTTGCGAATAGATGTGTTTTTAAATCGGTTTTACAGGACTCCTGTGTCTGGCTGTTTGTAAGAGCGACTGGAAGGGCGTTCCAAATTGTTGGGCCGGCAAATGCAAAAGTGCGCTTTCCGTAAGTCTCAAGGCGAACACACGGTATCGATATTTTGCCACTTATCGGATGAGCGGAGATCTCTAGTGGATACGTAAGGTGTCATGAGTGCTTTGAGATAAGATGGCGCCAGGTCATGTAAGGAGCGGTAGCACAAAGTTGCAATTTTGTACTCTATGCGAGCGCGGACCTGCAGCCAGTGCAGCTCTCTCAGAAGTGTTTTAGCATGGTCAAATTTGCGTTTGCGAAGAACAATGTGAGCCGCAATATTCTGTGCTCTCTGATTTTTATCCAGGAGCGTAGCTGGGAGACCCACCAAGAGAGCATTGCAATAGTCCATGCGTGATAACACAAATACAGACATCATTCTCTTTGATGCATCTAACGTTAAGAAAGGTCTGATATGACTAATCCTGCGCAGCTCTAGAAAAAATCGCCTTGCAAAGCATGTTAATATGATTTTCCTTAGTAAATGTTTTGTCTAAATAGACACCCAGGTCCCGCACTATATGAGCAAACTACAT